AGATCAGTTACCAGTGCACTATAGTTGTGTCTGTCGTCTGCTAACAACTGTCCAAGTATTTCCAGTGGTTGTCCCTTCAAGCTAGTTGCCAGATATACTGCTTTCTGCTCCTCTGTCCACCCATTCATCTCTGTCAGTAGCTCAAATTGTGCTCTATATGCTTCCCATGATGCCTTCCCATCGAATTCTGGTGGCTTCCTTCATTCTAGATCACCCATATCGCTGACACTCATGTCTGGAATGTGACTTCTGGCAGGACTGAAGATGTCTGCATTAGGGTTTAGCTGCGGGGTCTTGAAGAGGCTTGCAGGTTCTGGGGCTGATTAAGTCGGTGGTAAATGTATTCTCCTTGTGTAAAAGACAATAAATCATCCTTTAATGTATTTAATTCGCTTTGAAATTTATTAATGTTTTTCCATTTGTGTACTCTGGCTTTCTCTCAATTGTTGGAGACTTTCTTCTTATTTATTTTCTTTCTCCTCCATCCACTGCTGTAGTCTCTCTTCTTGTTCATTTTCTTTCTCCACCAACCAATGCTATAGTCTCTCTTCTTGTTTATTTTCTTTCTCCTCCAACCACTGCTGTAATCTCTCTTGTTTATTTTGCTGTTCGAGCTGCCACTGTTGAAAGTTACCTTGCCATTGCTGTAATCTCTCTTCTTGTTTATTTTACTGTTCGAGCTGCCACTGTTACAGGTTTTCTTGCAACTGCTGTTGTCTTTCTTCTTGTTTCTTTTGCTGTTCTTGTATTGCTGCCATCAAATCTGCTAAGCTGTAGTTTGATTTGTCACCTCTTCTTCTTTTTCTTCTTTTTTATTTTTATTTTCTGTCCCACTCTCTGACACCAATTTGTTATGTCTCTGTTCGTTTGTTAATTTCCCGTAGAAATTCTTCCCGAGAAACTTCAGCGATACAAGTCCTTTCTTAAATAAAACTAGTTTATTCTTTCTCAATACAACTTTGCAATACACTTAATTTCCACAGTTACTTTAACTTAAACACTCGTTATAATTCACAACGAATGATTCACGCACTTTTCTTACAACCGCACTTGACTCAATTGTCCGTCTCTGTCTCTGCCTGTCTGCAATTCTATTCCGATTCACTGTCTGGCGCACTTATATACAAAAATACAGCGCACCTAACAAATTCTGGATTGTTCGTGATGTTCCCGATCTTTCTAGAACTCATTACCAGGGTCACGTGACTTCCGCTGTCGTAACACAACTTTATTAGGGATCTCCAACGCGGTTAGGGTGCTCGACTCGCAATCTGAGGGTCACGGGTTTGAATCCCCATTCCACCAAACATGCTTGCCCTTTCAGCTGTGGGGAGGTTATAAGTGACAATCAATCCCACTATTCGTTGGTAAAGAAATAGCCCAAGCGTTGGCGGTAGGTGGTGATTACTAGCTGCCTTCTCTCTAGTCTTTAAATGGTGAATTTGGGACAACTAGCTCAGATAGCCCTCGCGTAGCTTTGCGCGAAATTCAAAAGAAACAAATATTTCTAGTATTAATATGTCTTCTATACACCAGTAAGCACTATAGAAATTAAATAACGACAATATTAACTCACCATACTATGTAGCAATTCATTGTAAGAAGCACTTGTTTGAGAATCGAAATCTATATGGTTGTTATGGCATCTCCTCCCCCCCCGTAACTTACTATAAGGTTATACGCAATTCGACTTGTTTTAGACTAATCATAATGTCTGAGTTATTTGGTGATTTCGGCACGTATTTTTTCTTTTTTTTCGTGTACATATTCTAAGACATCTTGTAACTCGTGCCGACTGCAAATTTCTAGAAGAAATTGCGTTTCTTAACATTTAAACAAACGTCATTCTCACTCTGAAACATAAGGACATAAAAAAAGAAGTTCTATCGAGGGCAAATGGTCACATTTTCACTTTGGTATAGCATATCCCGTTAACCTTTGCAACATTTTCTGACCAATGGGCACATCATCCTAGGGATAAACCCAATTCAAACCTCCCAAGGAAGGTAGTTCATTTTAAACCAGGTTATAACGTGCTTCAAACGTGGGTAGAACTTGTTACAATGTTGCAGCTTGCTGTGTGTGTTAAGTGTTTCAGTAAACAGGTTCGTAAAAACAAGGTTTATTTGACAGATGTGAACACATAGATAATTGTGATTGTGGAATACCAATCTAGGGTTTTGTCTGTTTGATTTTTGTACCTGTCTTCTTGTTCAGACGGATTTCTTTCCAGCTTCAGCAGCCAGAAATGACATAAAACGAACTTTGATTCAAGTTTGAAGCAGGCCAGTGTAGTAAGAACCTAGAGTTGTTTTGTTTGTGTTAATAAAGTTTTTCACGATTCTTTGTTTTACATGTATAGAATTATTATTTTTTCCTTTTGCTGTATGTGTTCGATTTATAATTTATAAAATATTTCTTGAATCTGCTGGATATTACTGGCTTGCTTTTTGGAAATAAGTTAACCTGAATACCAAACGGGTTAGGAACACGTCCAGAGCATTAAAAACGTAATTACAGAATTATTTTTATACTGGTTATTCTGGTGGAGATCCGCACACTGCGTTAGATTGATATATTTTATGTTATTGCCTGTTACAACTTTCAATGTAAAGAAGCGACCAAAACCTTTTGATGAATTAACTCATTTTCTTCGTAAAATATATGAGACTTCCAGTAGTAATACTAATAAGATTAATTACAATACTAGTGTAATTTATATTAATATTTTTGTGTGATTCGTGTTACTATGGTTCTTATAATCAAACAAAATCATGGGCTTACAACTTACAAGTAATTTGGTGCATACACAGTTTAGAAAAATGTGTTGAAAAAAACTAATAGGAGGTCTGTTAAATATACATAACGCAGGTATGAATACTTTGCCAAAAACGATACAACAACCATATGAATAATTTTTGTTGTTGTTTTAATGAAAATCAAAATTTTTGCAAGTGCAAAATTTACACTTACAGAAAATTTAAAGAAGCCTATTTTATTTGATCTTTAAACCCAGTAATAAATACAAATAAAGGTAAACCATTTTGAACTATTCTTACTCAGATGCTTCTGACCTTCTACAAGTAGTCATTGTCTTCCTATAGTTAATTCTGACCTAATTTCGAAAATATGTATAACTTTTACGTTTGCAAACAATTTCTGTATATCAATTGATTTTTGTTTATGCCAATCAACTTCTGTTTTTACAATAACTTTGTTTTAATCTATTTAAAAACTGATTGTTGTCTTATTGTCTCGTATACATACATACAAACACACACACATATATATATATATCCTGAGGCAACTCTGAAGAAGACAAAGTCAAAATATTGGTTTCTTTTATAAGGTTGACAGGCAGTTTTTTAACAACCCCCACAGTGGCATAGTGGTATGTTTGCGGACTTCTAACGCTATAAACTGGGTTTTGATACCCGTGGTTGGCACAGCACAGATAATCCACTGTGTAGCTTTATGCGTAACTATAAAACAAACTTTATAACGAATATAGATTTATATTATTTGCTACAGGTTATGAAAAAATTTATCAATAGAGGCCGTAATCGTACTCGTAGCGAACGTATTGCACATTGTGTAGCAGAGGTACTTCTAAATACGGATATATATATATATATATATTAATGTGTAGTAGTTTTGTGTCGCTGAAGTACTACTAATATGAGTTAGCTGTTGTTAATACTACAGTTACACTACAAAAGTGCAAAAGTAAGGACATCTAAGTGATATTTTTCGTAATAATTTACTGCTCTGCAAACTGTTTGTGTTATTTCATACTCATAGTCACACTGATTCAAATCAGTGACACTTATTGTTATTGAATCTATTGGTAAGTATTATTCATAACTTACACATCTTTACAAAATATTTTTGAACTTTAAATATTTAGTTTAAAATCAATGTCGCCGCACTGAATACTGGACTCGAAGCTTAATTAATGATTAATAGGCTTAGAGTAAGACTGGATATAGTTTTTGGTTTTCTACAAGCACATAGCGTTGTCACTGTATTGTGTATATGGTTAAATGATTAGTACTCGTAGCAATTGTCAACCACTCGTTCAATGACACGATTTCGATCAGGGTCTTATAAGTGCTCATGGCAATATACTTATAGTTATATAGAACTATTGAACTAGTTATTTTTACGAAATCTGTTTCGGGAGGGGTGAGGGTTATAAAGAATGACATTGGCTCATTAATCAATGTCGAAAGGACGAAAGTGATCTGCAAAGTGACAACATAAATAAGTTAGATGATATCTTTTTTATTATTGATTATTAAGAAAGTTACTTTCATTTCGCTTAACAGATAAACCATATTTGCAGTCGATTAATAATTAAAAAAATTGGGAAGTTTTAAGTGATGACAAGGCTCCTGGACCATATATCTCTTCAGGCTAAGGATTGGATATGTGAGCCACTTTATATTTCGTAAATTTTTTAGTGGATGCCAGTGGATTGGAAGTTGAACAGTGTTACTCCTGTTTGTTAAGGGAGGCAATGAAAGTGGCCAAGTAATTATAGGCTTATTACTATTAATCCTATGTTGGTGGTGGGAAAAGATTTGGAAGGTCTGGTAAAATTAAAAGATGCTTTGTACAATCATTTAATAAAACTTTGAATTTTGTTGGATAGTTAGCATGGTTTCACTGAGAGAAAAATTATGCATTACTAAGCTTTTGACATTTTTTGAAGAGGTTATGTTGATGAAGATAAAGGTGTGGATTTGGTATATCTAGATTTTCAAAAAGCATTTGGTAAGATGCCACATAGACTGCTTGTTAAAATATTATCTCTGTGGGCGTGGAGGATAAGTTGGCTGGTTGGCTTGAAAAATGGCTGGAGTGAAGAAAACAGAGGGTTGTTATAAATGGTGATTAGTCAGACTGGATAATTGTCACAAGAGGGGTACCTTGGCTGAAGCTGAGAGTTTGGACCTTTGGTCTTTTTGATTTACATCAGTGACATAGTCAAGAATTTGTTTATATTTGCTAATGATATTAAAGTATTTGGTATTGCTGACTTTGTGGAGAATGCTGATGCTTTATAAATGGATTTAGATCATTTGGGGAGTTGGTCGATTAACTGGCAGGTGACTTTTAATTATAATAAATGCAAGGTAATGCATGTGGGTTATCATAATTTAAATTATAAGTGTTATGGAGGAAAAGGGTCTTGGTGTTTTGGTTGATCAAGCTCAAGTTATTCAAACAATGTGCAGTTGCTAGTGCTAGGGTAAATAGGATTTTAGTTTGTATTTTGCAGAAATACTGAATATGAGTCTAAAGACATTATTTCATTATTTGGAATAATGTGTTCAGTATAGGGCTCCTTACTTTAAGAAGGACATTATATTGTCAGAAAGGGTTCAAAATAAAGCTATTAAAATGGTGGAAAGATTGTCATAAAAGGACAGGTTAATATCTCTAAAATTGTTTTCTCTTGAAAAGAGAAGAGTTAGAGGGGATCTGATTGAGGTGTTCAAGTTTATTAAAATAATTTTTAATATCTATGCATCATCTTGATTCATGATGAGAATAGTAGGACAAGGGGACATAAATATAACATAACTTTAAAGAATAGTAAGGGACATTTTGTTCTGGCTAGGCTGTCCTATTTACTAAATTCAACTAAACACTTAAAAAAAAAACTTGAAAGCCAGCCCTTATCATTCAAATATTAATCAAGCTTTCCCTTAAATGAATTTTATTCTCCATATTTGAAGGCAACCCGTTCCAGAGGCCAACTGCCTTGTTAGAAAAATAAAACTGTCTTAACTGAAGATGACTTCTTCCCTGCCAAAATTTATATTTGCGTTCCTCTAGTCTTATAATTTGCATCATTAAATATAAAAAAAGATTGTGCATCAACACTTCAATTCCCTTAACAATTTCAAATACCTCAATCAGACTTCCTCTGACTCTTCTTTTTTCAAAAGAATGAAAGTTTAAATATCTTAATCTATCCCCATATGATAACTTTTCCATCCCAAGTATTGCCCTAGTAGCCCTCCACTGAATCCTTTCCAGCAACTCAATGTCCTTTCTAAGGTATGGAGCCCAAGATGGAAAATAATACTCCATATGTGGTCTAACTAGTGACTTGTACAATGATATTTTAATCTCCTTTGACTTGTATTCAATATTGCTGTAGATACAACCTAAAATCCTATTTGCTTTGCCACTAGCAATAGCACATTGCTTGGAAGGCTTAAGAGACTTATCAACCAGATTACCAAGATCGTTTTCTTCCATAATACTGTTAAGGTTATTCCCATCAAAATTAAACTTGTAACTAAAATTGTGATATCCCAAATGCATTACCTTGCATTCATTTCAATTAAAATCCATCTTCCTTTTATTTGCCCAACTCACCAAATACTCCAAATCCTGTTGTAAGGCAGTAGCATTCACCTCACAACCAGCAACATCCAAAACTTTAATGTCTTCAGCAAATTTAAATAATCTACTAACTATTCTTTTATCTGTGTTATTGATGTAAATCAGAAAGAGCAAAGGTCCTAACACTAAGCCTTGATGTATCCCACCCATAACATTAATTTAGTTTGACTGAATTCACTTTATAACAACTCTGCTTTCTTCCATTTAGCCAATTTTGTATCCAATGAGCCAACCTATCTCCTACTTTGGCTTGGTAGAAGTCACTTTCAGCTTACGGTTTTACTGCTCTAACAGAGTAGTAGGCCTATAGAAAGGTGGTGGTTGTGAAAAAGGTTAAGGGAGTTTGAAGGTAGGCTCAATAAGTATTTGAGTGTATTTTTCTTTCAAGTGTTTGAGTCAGCCTTGATAGACCAACAAACCCCTTGTTATCCCTTAAATTTCATATTATATATTATTAGTGAATTTGGGCAAAACTGTTTTCTCTTTTGTAAATTGTAGTTAACAAAATTTGTAGTCACATCAATACTTCATAGTACTATGAATACAAAACATCCCATTAATTATATGAAAGTATCAGGTTTTAGAATGCCATTTGGCCCATTGTGGTAATCCAACTAACCCAAATTTAAATATATTCCCTTACCAACTTGTTTGTTAGTAGCCTATACTGTCATGTTAATATCATTAGTATTATTACTGGATACTAATTTACTTATAAGCAGCAAATCTGTTGTCAGCTTCAGGGAAACCCTAAGAAGAACTGCATGTAGTGGTAGTGGTCAGAATACAGTTATTGGCTTTTTGTTAGAAATGTGGTGTGCTATATATTCAGCTGAGGTCTTCCCCTTTAGAGCTTCAATCAACTATTTTAATGATTTCAGGAGTATCCATGCTAGGATGACTGACTGTTGGCAGTTAAATGGATGTATAAGGCTTCTTTTATTCTTTTTTTTCATGTATGGTGCATATCCCATTACTCTCATAATAAATTTTATTAAATAGTTTTCTTCTTTTGACATGATGGCCTATTACAGATGGAAATTGGTATTGCAGTCTTGTATATTTATTATGCTCCTGAATTCTGACTTTCATTGGGCCTTTTATTTTTCCAATGTATTGGAGCCTGTATTCACAAGGAATGTTGTAAATGGTGTTTTTGTTCTCCATTAGTCTTAAGTGATTTGGTGTGTATTGTCTTGTGGCTTTGGAATGAAGGCTGTAATGAAGGGTACAGGTATATTTTTACCTTTGAAGGTTCAGAACACATTACTGAACAAAGGTTGAACATTCAATAGTAACAATTTGTATAATTTACTGATGAAGTCACCATAACTACTAGTTTATATTTGATTGAAAATCCTCTTATTTTACATGTAATCCATATAAATGAAATAAAGTATTCACATAGAGTTTGAAAATATGTTACATAGAACATTAATAGTTTTTACACTTTATGTAAAAAAATTCTTGTTGTTTATGCACACATATTTGATGCTATGTACAATAATCATAGAGTGACATGCAGTCAGTTAGCATTGCAAGAGCACCCTACTGCAGCAAATGAAGAGAACAGCAGGTAGCAGCTGTCCCAACCAAAACAACTCTTTATTAAACAATCACCATGCTAAGCAGGTCAACAGTCAGTCTTTTTAACATAACATTTTTGACTAAACATACCTAGTAAACATAATAATAATTAAACATTAAAACAAAACAGGGTGACATTAATAGTTTGATTGGAAAATAAATACAGAACGTCAGCTGTACCAGAAAGTTACAGGAGAGAGTCTTATCAGTTTTATTTTATCAACAGCATTATTTTCTCTTGAATTGTAAGGTTTATATAGGAGCTGGATTCTTTACAGTAGGTGTCTGAGACTTATTGGTGATAAATTTCAATATCTTTTAAAATAATATATATTCAAAATAAGTGAAACATGTGAACAAAAATTCATTACACAGTTGTTTACCACAGTTGAATCTAGAGCTTTAAGTAATTCTCTTTTTCATCAAAATTCTACACAGGCTGGTTCAATTACTTTAGAACCCAATTGAAAAAACAAATTATTCTTCTGTATCTCTGTTGTTACAATACAAACTGTGAAACTTTCGCTTTAGAAATCACTCGTTACAGTTAAACTGATAATCATGGAATCTAACTTCACTTTTTTCACTTTCACTAACTTACTTCCTCTTTGTATTTGCACATATTTATAACACGCAACAGAAAAACCTAGAAATATCTAGCCCTCTAGTAACAACAATATTATATATGTATATATATATATATATATATATATATATATATATAACAAGAATGACTTAGAAGCTTTGTATAAGATGACATCAACAATATTACAAAACCATAGTACAATTAAACTACGTACACAACATATGATTCCTACAAAGTTATATAACGAAATTTGTCGTAACTATCACTTTTAAAATAATTAACTTCAAGCACTCTTATTATGAAAATTAAATAATCATCAACTATTGATTTACTAAATAATAACTCTTAAACTAAACAGTTTTGTATATCCAACAATATCCAAATATTTACAATATATTTTTACACTATATACAAAAACTGTTTTCAGTTTATAAACAAAATCTTCTCATATGGTCTGCACCAACACTTGCATTTCCTTTGTTGGTCTCTCTTCGCATAGGTTATCTGGTAAGGTTTTACCTTGACAGAATCCCTTGTCTTCATCTTGATCTTGTGTTGCCTGAGATCTGTCATACCTAACATATCTGTATACTGGTACAGTATATCTTGTACCTCTTTCTTCTGCTTGCCAGTCAGTTCTTCACTGATGTCTTTGTGTGTCTTATCTCCACCCAGTGATCTTAGGCTTGGTAGGTTTTTTATCTTTTATAGCAAAGTCACTGTCTTCTGGTTCTGCATCTATGATAGCTATACCTGCCATATCCATCTATGTTTCAATAGGTGTTCTTTCATCTCAGAATATCTCTTCAGCATATTGGCATGGTAAATCTTGATATTCTTGTCCACTTTCACTTTATAGTTTATTCTGTTCATAACTTCTTGCACTTGAAAAGGTCTTTTCCACTGCAAGGTGAGTTTGTTGTTGGCTGTGGGTAGCAGAACTAAGACCTTCTGTCCAACCTTGAAATATCAACCCGTGGCCTTCTTGGCAAAAAATGCTTCTGATTGCCATTGATGTGCTTAGCTTCCCCAGTAGAACTGCTTTGATAGATCTGGTACAGTATGTCTTTCTGGCCCTCTATTTGGTAAGTCTTATTCCCCTTTGTCTTGTGCTTGACCTTCTCCCGGGCACTGTCCCAAAGTTTCTGTATCAAAGGGTCTTTCTTCTGTGCTTTCTTTAGTTCCCATAGATCTACATTTGGAAGTCATCTTTCATGACTTGCAGGAACTTGATGTCTTGCTTGCTTTTCATTTTTTGAGCTCTTGTGGTGACTGCAGATGCCTCAATAGTCTCCTTTCTGTGTGGTTCCTCTAAACATCTACTGCCTAGTATATTGCTAATCACCAAGTTATAGATGGGTGCCTTCGTAAACATGGCCTCAAGGTCTCTCATGTAGCATGGAGTGTCCACCTTTATTCTTGCTATGGGGAACTCACTGTCCCGTCAATCAGTACACACAGATGTACTTTGTCCATCATCTAGTCATCAGATACTAGACTGGTTCTCAATGCTACACCTAGTGTCTTGTAGGACTTTCACTTTCTTCTTCAAAACACAGCCTTCACCAACTGGCACTTTGTGGTTTTTTGGCACATCTTGATGTTTGTCACATGCTCCAATCACCATTGGTACCATTGATCCATTTGCTAACTTGAGCTGTCCATCAATCATGCACTGTTTATTCATGGTGATAGCACTTCCTTCTTGTGGTGAATCTGATGAGTTGTTTCTATTTTGTTTCATCTGGCAACAGCATCCATGGTGATAGTTACACTTTTCTGGTTTCTTGCCAGCACCATCTTTGTAGGTAGATGTAACTGCTCTATGTTGAGATTTCTGATGTTGCTTGTTGGTGACAGACTTATACTTAATCACTCATATTGTGCCCAATTTTATAACAAGCATAAAATCTCTTCTCCTTTTTGTCTGTTGGCTTCTTGTCACCTTTGGTTGCATCCTACTTCTGGTCAGCCACCCCTTGTTTAAACTTTGACTGGTTATTCTTGGACTTGCCAGTTATATTCCCTTTATGAGCTTCCATATATTGTTTGGCCAGCTTGATCATCTCATCCACATCTTTAGGTGCTCTATCTTTTAGGAACAGTGACATGTCAGTGGAGCATGTGATCATGAACTGTTCATGTATTAGATCTGTCGCCTTCAAAACTATTTTCACACTTGACCACGTCAGTCCACCTTGTGAAGTATCGCTGTAGATGTGCCACAAACTGAAATACAAATTACCCAGTGTGAGGTTTGACTTCTCCGATTTTTTCTGCTGAAAACCTTCTTCAGTAAGCTCGTAATGTTTCAACAAGGCCACTTTTAACTTATTCTAGTCCATGGCATCTTCTGACATCATGCCTGTGTACACTTGTAGGCCCAATCCTGTGATAAGTAGGCTGAGACAGATTACCCAGCTTTCACTTTGGGCAAATCTTTCATATCTCTCCAGGAAATCATCCATGTCATCTTTCTCTTCATCAGATTTGGACAGCTTGGGTTGGGTGACCCTGAACCATTGTCATTCATGGGTCCTTCCTCTTTCTGTTGGGTGAGTTTGGCAATCTCAGTTTGTGTTCTTTTTCTCTATATTAACAGTCTCTCCTCTCTCTTCTTTCTCAAGCTATGCTCTTATTCTCTCTCTCTGTTTACAGTCTTTCCTTTTCTTCTTTTAGTCTTTCTTCCTCTCTTCTCTCTCTAGTTCCTGTGGTTGTTTAACAAACTCTCGTAGATCACCATCTTTAAGTCCAAGTTATTCACCTTTTTTTATCTATTTATCAAAATCAGTTGATATGGTTATAAAACATGGTTTTTAACTCTACAATGTTTTTGACACCACTAGTTCTGTGGATATAGACCCACTTCCACTGTCATTCATGTCTTCTTCTACTGCTCTTTACCACTGTATAATCCTGGCTGGCTTTCCAAATGTAAGGTTTTATATAGGGGTTGGATTATTTACAGTTGGTATGTATAACTTGTTACCAATAAATTTCAACAATAAATGGACAGTGCACAATATTGTAGAAGATTTAACAATACTGTGTACTGTCAATAAGAAGACACAAGATTTAACAATACTGTGTACTGTCAATAAGAAGACACAAGATTTAACGATACTGTGTACTGTAAATAAGAAGACACAAGATTTAACAATACTGTGTATTATCTTAAAGAACACGCAAGATTAAACAATACTGTGTACTGTCAATACTGTCTTCTTCTACTGCTCTTTACCACTGTATAATCCTGGCTGGCTTTCCAAATGTAAGGTTTTATATAGGGGTTGGATTATTTACAGTTGGTATGTATAACTTGTTACCAATAAATTTCAACAATAAATGGACAGTGCACAATCTACTTGTTTTAAAATAATGTATATTTAAAATCAGTCAACATATGTACAAAAATTCATTACACTATTGTTTACCACAGTCGAATGTAGAGCTTTAAATAATTCCCTTTTTCGTCAAACTTCCACACATGCTGGTTCAATTACTTTAGAACCCAATTGACAAAACAAATTCTTCTTCTTCTTTATCTCTGTTGTTGCAATACAAACTGTGAAACTTTCACTTTAGAAATTGGCTGTTATGTCTAAACTGGCAATCACTCGGTCTAACTTTTTTCACTTTCACTAACTTCTCTGTATCTGCAAGTATTTATAACACGTGACAGAAAAATTGAGAAATATTTAACTCTTTTAGTAACAACAATATTAAACATAATGAGAAAGATTTTAAAGCTTTGAGTAAAATGAGATCAACAATATTAAAAACCTAGTGCAACAATTAAACTACATACACCACATATGACTTGTACAGAGTTTCATAATGAATCTTGTCATAACTATTGCTTTTAAAATAATTAACTTTTTACTATTGTTATGAAAACTAAATAACCATTAACTATTGAATCACTAAATAAGAACTCTCAAACTAAACAATCTTGTATATCCAACATGAAGGAAGCTCAAAAGTTATGTGATGAAAATGCTGCAGTGTGTATTTGCCATCTGTGTATGTTAACTTTTTTTTTAAAGGTTATAATTCTATCACCTTCATATTGATTTAAAAATTATTTTTATGAAAGATGCCTAAGAATCTGATGTAACTTTCTAGTGAATGAAAATGCTAACTTCAGTGCTTGACTAACAATGCTCATCAGCAGGAGTGAACCAAATTTTCACCTGGGGCAGAAAGTAAAAATGCTGTGCTGCTCTCCATGCTGAATTTCCCATTTATTGGAATGGACACTGCTTCTAAGGGTAAAAAGAATAAAGCAAAAAATAAGATTTGTTTAATGCATGGATTGTTTTGAAGAGTATAACACTAATTAAAGTCAGCCTTTTAAATAACAAAATTTTTGCATTTTATATGAAACATGAATTAAACTGATAAATAATACAATACAACAGATGAATTCACAGACAGTCTTCAGATAGGGCAAATTAAATAATACACCAGTTTTGCCAATATTAATCAACAGCATGCCTAACAGGTCTCAGATGTGTACTTTCCTGTCCTTCAGTGTGACAAAATTGTGAATTAGGTCATCATAATTATTTTCTTTCGCAACTTCCTTTTCAATGGAAAGGATGGCCAGGTTGTTGAGCTTAGACTGACTCATGGTGGACTTTAGATACATTTTGATGAGTTTTAGCTAGTATAAAACTTTTGCTTGCAGCTTGCTATGAACATACACATTGTGAGGAATATGTGCAGTGCAGTTGTCAAGTTTGACAAGGATTCAGTGTAGACCCACTTAATGATTCACTTCAGTAAGTCTAGCATGTTTTGTAGTTAGGTAATGAATTTTGTTTTTGATTTCTTGATTGTTTCAGTATTCATGAGATATTGCAAGTTAAGAAAACCAAAATGAAGGTTTAAGCCATTCAGATGTTTTGTTATTTTATCAGTTTCACTTTTAAACCAGTCAATAAACTCCAACTGTTTTCTTCTGATATCTTCTTCCAGATTCAGATCATGGTCAATTGACATTGCTCCTACCATTTTTCACTTTCTCCTCACAAGCCTTCGAGCCTTAACTAACAAGTAACATCACTGAGATGATTTTGTTAAATTTATCCCAGTGGCTTTAGTTTCAGCCTGGGTAACTTAGTTGTCTCCTTTTTTCACCTGAGAATAATCAAAGAACATTCATTTTTTCTTTACATTAATCTAACCCAAGACCACATTATTTTAGTATTTTTCTAGGCATCATTGTATTTCTTTCAACATGGGGGCCAAAAATACAGATATGCAATGAAATTGTGCAATGTAATGTTGTTAAGAATAGTATCCAAATTCTCAGTGACTCCATCTCTTTGAGTTTCTCAAGCACATGAATCACCCCTCTATACATTGGACTCAATGGCAGTAACAGCATCATGCTTTGCACTCCATGTATCTGAGGTTCTTTTGAGACTATTTGTGACATTTCTTACGTATGTCCCATCTATGAGTAGAAAATGAGAATAACATGACAATTTCTCCACCACTTCACAAAATGTTGCAGTTTTGGGTGTTGTTTCTGCTGCATACACACCTGCTAGGTTCAAACTGTGATTGTTACATGGAACAAAAATAGCATTCAGCTTGAATTTCAGAATTCACTGCTGGACTCCACGGTGTGCTCCATACGTTATCGTATCCCTGACCATAACTGTTGTGTAGGTCCAGGCCAAGCTTGTTAATTATTTGATTTGTTATAGCTTCTGCAGTCTTTCCCTCAAATGGAATGAAGTCAATGAATGACATCTTCACTTTCACTTTACTATCATTGATTAATACATAACTGATAATATGAAACATCTGGTGTACTGTCAAACATGATGGCAGAGCATTTGGCTGCAGGGATTATGTTGCAGATGGTGGATAACGTGCAACAACAAAGAGGAGTGATGAATTCACTTTGCACTTGTGGGTATGAGATGGTCTTGGTTGCACTTGGATTTTTTTGTTAGGTGTTTCCTAATGACTGAGTTGTACTTTCCTAAGCAATTCTCCAGTTAAAACTCCTTAAGTTGGTGCCATCAGCTATACTTTCTCTGTCTTCTAAATAGAAGCCAAGAACATAACACACTCATAGATTTGCTCAAGAATTTTCTTCCACTGTTCCATAGCTTTTTCATTTTGCTGTTGAAGCTCGTTGTTGAATGTCACTCTTATCTCAAGTCAGATAGAGATATATTTCTATTGATCAAAAGCTCAGATATGAACAGAGCTACATTTGTGTTCTCCAATGTGAGAGTTCAACTTACTCCAAGCTTTGAATCCTTCTTCCTTTCCAAAGGCACTATTTTGAATATTAAAGATCCTCCAAAAGAAGCAGTAAAAAGTTTTTTTATGGGGAAATAACAACAGCCAGGACCAAGCAGATTTTCACCAGTTTCCAGTTTCTTGAAGACCAGTCCTTTGACATGGATCTGTTCTCATTGTCAAATAGGAATGATCCATTTTGATTCTGTAGAGCTGCCAGACATTGCTTAATTAACTCAATCCTTAGTCTATCCTGCATCAGGTGAGGCCAACTGCCTGCATCACAAAAGATGATTGGATCAGGTTTGATACCTAACTCATTGTCTTCCTCATTCTGTGTGTTCGTGTTGCAGACACTGGATAGATGAGAGTCAAACTGGCTTTTAGTTGCATCTATAGTTCCAACACTGATGATGTTGAAAGTGGAGTCACCCTTGTTTCCTGATCCTTGTCCTCAAGTAAACCAACCTATATTACAAATTGATGAAAGCAAGCTGTATCCCCCTCATTTTCTCATTCTCTCTTTTCTCTGGCATCTGTACTGTGAGCCACTAATGTTAAATATTTTATTCTATGATGCTATCATTCTATCACCCTCACTGAAAGAAAGAACAATTTTTGTTATGGGTAATGACAGGACAAATAGAAACTATTTAAAAGAATATGTCTAAAAAAAGGGGCATACTTCTTATGCCTAGGGAAAAAATTATGAGAACATGTCTTGTGAGTAATCTTTGAGCCTTAACTAACAAGTAACATCACTGAGATGTTTTTGTTAAATTTATCTTATCCACCATGGAAGGCACTGTGCCCCTGCAGTCTACTTTTCTTCACAAAGCTGACAAAGAGCCTTTTTTCTTTAACTTTTTTAAGTATTTGGTAAGTTGAAAGTACAGTCATAATCACATTTCGTTTTCCCAGCACCATATATCTATTTATTTATGAGAGGAAAGTTGTTAGCCTATAAGGACTGTAGGCCTACTGTAAAGTATTATTTTTATGATTTTTAAAAATGTTGTAGTATTAGAACTTATCTTAGAAAATTGTTTCTTCAAAGTTTATACAAAGTTGCTGTAGTGTTTGTTTATATGTAATTGTGTTATTTCAATGTTTCTTTCACTCAAGACTTTTAAAGTTAAGTTAACTCTCTTTCAGACTTATGAAATCTTTAGAATTTGTAGAATAAAATTCATTAGTCACTAGGATATTAACTTTTAAAATTAAGATGCAATGAACAATGGAAAATGCTGCCCAGGGCAGGTGCCCCCTTTTACATTTATATAGCATAGTCAGGTTATAATGTATGAAAGTTAATGAATAATTACAAACAGAAATAACTGTGTGTAGCAATTTTTTTTAAATTATGTACTATGTAATATAAATATGAAAATATTCACTTGATATCCAAATAGATCTGAGTAATTAAATATTAATGAACACATTTATAACTTATGGTTGATCACGAAGTATAGTATAAATTATAATTTTAAATTCTCGATGTACTTTTATTATGGCTTGAAATCAAACATTCTAAACAACTTTGTACAGTGAAGGCTGCTTGCGAACATCACCGAACAGAAGTCTTGTGTGCTAGCAGTAGAAAGCTAGAAATTGGTTAGTTACAGATCACAAAATGCTGCTGGGCCTTTGCCCAGTCACTCCACACTCTATGAGTATGATTTTTTGTGAATTTCAAGTATTGCCTTAATTTCTATATTCTAAAATAAAAATCCTTTCCTTGATCAAGTTTGTTCTTAAATTGTTTTTAATTTGCTGTGGTTTGGTACACAATGAATACTACATCATAAAATCACAATACATGGACAATTTCAGAACCAGTTAAAAGTAACAAAAAAAAATTTTCAGGTTATACCTTTTAAAAGATTACCAATGCATTATGAGGAAGTATCCTTTCTTAGGCTTAGCCACAAACTGTTTCTGGTTGTTTTAGGTGTTCACTTAGAAAATACTCTATTTTTGTATTCTATTTGGTGATATAGCCAATTAACAATACAGAGGATAAAAGGCTAAATAGTCAAAATTAGTCATAGTTGCAAACTGAAAAAGTTACTATGCAATATATTTGCATACAGATTATTTACACAGGCTGATCTATATTGGTTTTAAAAATACCACTTTTGAAAAATTCCTCAACATTTTCAGAATTCTTTAAAATGAGTACTATTTGCAAATATATATTTGTCATTTGCAGTATGTGTGTGTGTGTGTGTGTGTGTCATCTGTACATTAACCATCAAGGTTGAACAACTACCACCCTCACATTAATTAATAATTATGTGCAAAACATACTTAATTGATGTACCTTTTGTTAGTGAGTGAAGATGCTAACTTCAGTGCTTGTACATGTATATAGTCAGGATTCATTATCTAGAAGTACATTTTCAGCATAAAACATTTGAGCAACATTCATACACAGGTGAGCTATGGCAAGAGTATTCTGAGAAGAGATGGTGTAATGTTTCTTGACTCATTGCTCTCAGTAAAATGAGGATTTGGAAAAAACTCAGTATTCAAGTGTTTGGTAGGCACATGTATACATTTCTTTTTAATTAGCTCAGTCACATTGACAAATAGATCCCAAGCTTCATAGTCATTCCTCTAATTCAGATTAGCACCCAGTCTTTCAAAATATTTTGCAATTTTTGTTCGTCAGCCCTTATATTCTGACGTAAGGTTCTTATTATCTTTACAACTGATTTTAGTATAAGCATCAAAGGTGGTAATGCTATTTTCATTGGTTGTAGCTTTTTTCACATTTGGTGTATAAGTTATAATTTTCATTTATTTGTATTTCTGTATTAATAGGACTCTTGAGTCGTGATTGTACCTAAAATCTACAACTGGAGGAATGGCGAGTGAAAATAGTGACTCTGAGATCATGAGTGAGTGGACACTTTTGTCTTCAGTGAAGGATGAAGATGAGGTATGTCCATAGAAATTCATCTGTCATTTTGATGTATCCTACAAAATATGAGATATGTCCTGAAAAAACAAGTTATTCCACTGTTGGTGTGAGAGAGATTTTCTCTTCAATTAAATGAAGTGATTAGTATTTTCAACTTGTATGTGAGGATGAAACACACCTGCTTAACATAATTACTGTGGGTTATGAAATTCTGAGGTTTCTGAATTCCCATGGGAACAGAGTAGTCAAGCATACTGATATTTTAGTGGGAAAATAAGAGAAACCAAAGTTATAGAAGAGCATATGGCTCATTACAAAGAGAAAATATTGTATTATTTAAGAGCCACTAGTAATGAACTATGAAGTAATTAGTCAATATTTAAGAAATGTTGTATAGGCCTCCTCCCTTTTTTTGAGAAGTATAGTTATTTATTAAGTACACTGGTTTACAAAGTAAGTACTGTCATTATAACAAAAGTATTAAACATTGTCCTCAAAGTTTCAAAAGTTGATGGCTTTTTTATCAGTGGTGAAGAGTAAAACAGAAAAATGTCTTTCAATTTAAAAGATCACATATACAATGGAGACCAATGGCTTGAAGAAGAAAGGTGAAAAGCACTATAAAATCTATAAGAATAGTGTTGTTGGAAATAAATGAAAATTATCTGGACAAAAACTAAGATAACAATTTCATATTTAGACTATCCAGCAGTAGATATATTGGCCAAATAAGTCACCAGCTATATTTTCAGAACATTAAGTGACTGTAATTTAATACATTGAACTTGATTCTAGCTGCTCATGTTTCCACTACCAATCATACTATACACTGGGAAGGAGACAGTCTTTTACCAGGGTCACCAATATACACTGAATTTTCTTTAATCATTGCTTATTTGTAACACTGAAACTCTACTCAATTGTTATAATGGACTTTGGAATATCCCTAGCCTATATATTAGAGTTTCAAATAATTTTGAAAAAATTCTAACATGTCATAGTTCTCAATGTACACACTTCTTAAGCTCCTGCCATCACAGATAAAACCATTTAAATGTTAAACTGTATAATTTTCTGTCAAGCATAGAAGCTACAACTAAATTATGTAATTATAAATTGTAAAAGTTTTGTCTCAGTTCCCACAACTTCCTACTTGTATGTTTGGTGGTGTTTTTCTCCTCCTTTCTTTAATGCCATTGGCCTACTAGGTTATCATTTATCTTTTAAACTTAAAGACATTTTTGTATCACTTGTCACCCACATCCAATGAAGAAAGACTATGAATTTTGAAAAGTTGGAGATAGTGTTTAATGTTTGTGTTGAAATTACTGTATTTACATTATAAGTCAGTGTAGTTAATAACTAACACTATCGATCACACGTTTGCCTGGTTATACAATGTTTTTTAAGGCTTATTTTTTTAATTTTGAAAATTATTCATGTTTTTTAATAATTTTCTTATCACCAGTGTCTTAGGAACTTTTATCTTTTCATATATATGAAAAAAATGATGATCATACAGAGAGTTCGATACTCTGCATTAACATGTGAGTTTTTGAGTAGAAGTATCATGTTGTAGAATCTTTCATTTACAAAAAATGTACACTAAAATTAGATCAAGACTGAAACAATTTATTAAATTGTCAATGTTATTAATATTCTGAATGTTTATATAGTTGAACACTGTTGTTCTTAGAAGATGTATTCAGTGGCTAAAGATCATGTGGTATAATCTGGTTATTACTGTGACAAAAGTATAACCCTTAATAAAGCCAGATCCATCCTCGTTCATTACCTTGCATGTATATTACAGTTTCTTTACTTTTGAGTAGTGTATTAAATTAATATTGCAGAAACATTTGAGAAGAATATTATACTGGAAGTTTTTAATGCTAGTTAATTTCTTCAGTTTATCTTTTAATACAATCACTATATACGAGGCCTGTGAGAAAAGTATCCGACCTTTGGCCGGGGAATAAAAACTGGCATCCCTGGAGCGTTGGAA